GTAAGTAAACTTAAAAGGTTCTCTCTAATGTAATATAGTTAAAGTTAGAAAGTTAGATATTTAATTGTAAAAATAAGTACAATAGCTGATCCGTTGATTATGAACAATACACGTTGCTTAGACGTGTGAAGTTATTATATGCAAGCGCATCTTTATATTCAAACGCTACAATTTTAAAGATGGTGACTGCCTTTAGTTGTTAAGAATTTTTTTGGGTAACAAAAAAATATTTAAAGTTTTAATTAGTATTTATTCTGGGCCGACAACACGGGTTTGAAAGTGGAGGGACACAATCATCAATTTGTGAAAAAAGTCCTCTATATCAAGATTTTTCTTAAAGAAAAATAGAAAAAATAACGATCCTTTAGAAAAAAGTGTGGGGGCACGTGCCTCCCTGGCCCCTGGTGCTGTCGGCCCTGTTATTACTTTTAAATTTTTAATAGAATGAAAAAATTATAAAGATAATTAAATCGTTGATTCAAAAATGATAAAAATAAGATTAAGATGTTTGAGTACATAAAAACCTAGGGTTCTCTGCTACATTTATCTAACCGTTAATAGCGTAATATGTTTATATTTTTAAAACACATTTTCTAAAAATATGAGTGTAACAACTTATAATTCTTTACTTTTTATTTAAATTAGACTTATCTAGATTTGAAATTCTTTTCATATGTCAGTACTCAATATTTTTTCTGACTAAAAATAATACACTTAAAACTTCTTTTGTCTTAATTTATAGGTGTATGATACTCTTACATTCGTGTATAGAACTAAAATAAAAAATTTATATAATTATATGCGAATAATTATAATGCATAAAATAGGCTACAAAGTCCATAAGTTACTTTCCAGCAAACATTTCGATGTAAATACAACGTCAAAATAAGGTTATATTGACGTTGTTTCGACGTTGAATATTGGTTTTGAATTGAAAGACAAAATAACGTAGAAATCTGACAACAAAAATCTGTCTATTTTTGACGTTGAAAATTGAATATAATTTGACTTCTAAATGCTATAAAGTTTTGTCATCACAAGCAGCTGTGAGCATGAAAATAGAATTACCTGGATTATTTTGAAAATTATTGAGCAATTTTTTTTTACTAATTACAAAAAAAAATTTATATTTATCTTGACACTTAAATCTAATACAATAAAAAAAATCACATCAATAGTAGTTTTACATTTTATTTCAGAAACAAAACAATAAAACTAAAAAAGGATACAGTCGTTGAAACAGCTGTCGTATCTGAAAATGAAAAAAAAAAGTTTTTTTTCTAGAGTTAAGCATAAAAAAAGTTAATTTTTTAATATTAAAAAGTTAAAAATAAGCATAATGTAATAATGCTTACCCTTAGTATTTTGTTGCAAAGCTTTCGTTTTTAATTACGGCTTTGCGACGCCGATACATTGAGTCAACAAAGCATTGATATTTTCTTTTGGGTATTGCGTACCATACTTGTTGAATAGCTATCCATACCTGCTGAGCATTAGATGGATTAGCAGCAGAAAATGCTTTTTTAACGTCTCCCCATAAGTTTTCAAAGGGGTTTAGATTAGGTGAATGAGCAGGCTACTCCATAACCTTTATTCTATGTCTATTTCTTTCATTTAGTCTTCGACTATTTTCAACACGCCTTATAGCACTAACATCATTTTGTAAATACATAACTTCATCTAGCCTATCATTCATTTCAATGTCATCATATTGATTAAACATATTTATCAAAGAAACATTAATTATTTCTTTTTTTTAATACTCTAAAGTTAACAATAAAATATAAAAACTAAATAAATAACTAAAAAAATCTAAAAACATCACCAAAAGTAATACAGGTTTCTTTAGTTTATTTGATAGAAGTTAAGAAAAACCTGCAACCATATTATCAAAAACTTAATACAAAAAGTTAAAATTTATTCTGTTTCTAATAAAGAAAAAAAAAATTAGAAACAAACAACATATCTTCGCAGACAGCGTCAGCGTTGGGAGAAAACATTGAACAAAACGGGTAATAAAACTTATTAAAGCGTTATGTACAATAGAAAACGGGTTATTAACGCAGGTTTATAAATTTTTTTCCCTTAACACACTATTACGCTGCGGCAACTCCAATGATATACATAGTTATATATATATATATATATATACATATATATATATATATATATATATATATATATATATATATATATATATATATATATATATATATATATATATATATATATATATATATATATATTTATATATATATATATATATATATATATATATATATATATATATATATATATATATATATATATATATATATATATATATATATATATATATATATAGAACTATTTATTAGCAAAAACATATGAAAACCAAAATTTTTTATATTATTTTTTATAGTATTAACAATACTATAAATAAATTTTATTTAAAACAAAATGTTGTCATGGCTTTTATCCCAATTATTAAAAGCATTTGAAAGCATGAAACTACCCATAAATATCTTTTAATAGTAGACACTATCTAAGAAATATAGTAATCTATATTTTCAAAATTCACATGTATAACACGAAGCTTTAAATTTAAAAGTACAATTTAAAAAAGATTACAATAAACTAATTACTTATAAATTTTTAAAAAGACTTTATAAATACTCAATGTCTAGACATTTTGAAAAAATTACGATTTTGAAAACTTGAAAATTTAAATTTAAATTTTAAAAAACTTAAACTTTATTTCTACCTCAAAGAAAACAGATGTATATTGAAAAGTATTTTTATTTCTTTTTAAAAATTTAAAAATGCTTTTAAACTTACTCCTTCCAATATAATTATATAATATATATAGTATATATGATAAATAAACCTCCACAATTTCCTTAGTTTAACAACTCGATTATGATTAATAACAACTCTGTAAACATGAATTTTCTAATAACCTAAATAACTTACAGATAAACAAACATAACACAATTAATTTCTAAACCAATATTTATTTATGCAAGACAAATTATTTTATATTTATTGAAGAGCCAGAAACATATTTTTTTTTCAAAGAGCAAAAGTATTAACAATATTAAAGATAATTTTTATTTATATCAAAATTTTCAATAAAAATTAATTTAAGATAAATTTATAACAAAATGTTGTCATGGCTTCTATCCCAATAACCAAAACTATGTGAAAGCATGAAACTACCCATAAATATATATTTTAACGCTAGACACAATCTAAGAATTAAAGTAATCTATAACACAAAGCCTTAAATTTAAAATTACAATTTCAAAAAAAATAAAAAAATAAATTAATTACTTTTAAATTTAAAACAAATTTTAGATTACGTATAATTTTAAGCTACTAAACATTATCTTCTTAATATCAACTTGGACATTTTGAACTCGTACCATGAAAGGTTGAAAGGATATCTTTAAGAAAGCACGCGGTAAAGAAAAGTATAGAAACTACTTAAAAAGTGTATTTTACAGGTACAGAACCGTACCGTAACTATAAAACAATACGCGTAACTATGCGCACTAATAATCTGATAATATGAATACGCTAATTTAATATTAGTCGAGTTACATCATTTTCTAGGCTTTTCTATTTTAAAGTAGTTTCTAGGCTTTTCTATACGCGGTTTTTTTTTTAATTTTATTTACTAACAACGCGTATTACGGGTTGCTTACTGCTAGTAATAATAATAATATTCATTCGGCTATTTATATTATTCGGCTTCATTATAGAGATGTTTAGTCTAGATGTCTATAAGTAAAACGAAAATATAAAAAACGGTGTCGCTTTTTTTATATTCTATTCGATAATTTTTGGTAAAATAATTTGGGGCCATCCATAAAGGACGTCATCAAAATAGGAGGGGGAGGAGGAGGTCGAGTTAAAAAGGACAAAAAAGGACAAGGGGAGGGGGGGAGGTTGTCAGAAAAGGACGTCACTTTATAGATTTTTTATTTTAGTTTAATTAACATGGAAAACTACGTAAACATGTGTTTTTAAGAAGATAATATATGAGAATATTTTTAATTTTATTTTTCAAAGGTGTAGCAGCAGATTCAAACATCATTGCGAGATGAAATAAATTTTTTTGGAGTTAAAAATGGCTGGGGGTGAGGGGGTAAAAAATTGGCTAAAAAATGATGACGTTCTTTATGGATGGTCCCTTATTAGTTAAAAGCTTATATTATGTGTTAACAACATGGAAGATCTAAATTGAAACATGTCTATGCCTAACTCTTGCGAGTATATTAAATAAATTAATATAATTGTTAAAGGGATTTCAAAGTGCCCATACAAGTTTTGTTCATATCATAGATAAACATTAGAAAAAAAGTTAAAAGTTAGTTAAACTTTCCAAAACACATTATTGAATAAGATATTAACAAAAAACTTTTAAATTTCTAACGCCATTTTTTTTTCTGGCGAAAGTAAGAAATTGTTGGATGATATTTTAATTCGTGGTGTATATAAAAAAAAAATAATTACTTATTTTCTTAAAAAAGTATTCATCTTGGGTATTTTAAAGTTCGCTTCACCTAAATTACTATTTTTATTATGCTAGTTTATTTAACTCAAACAATTAACGATACGCTAAACAAAAAACAAAAACTCGCTACAGCGTTATTATTAACCACCGTAGACTAAATATAAAGGGGAAAACCTAATCTAATTGTGTGAGTTCAAAAAACTCTGCGAAAACATTTATTACTGAACTCAGATATATTTTTAACGGAAAAAACTATGCAGATTAGTAAGGTTAATATTGACCTTATAACCGGAAGTATAATAGCAAAACAACAAATGTTTATCTTTTATCGATATCTCATCCAATAATTTGTTTTGGAAAGTTTCATTATTTTTAAACTTATTTTCTAATGTTTATCTATGATATGTACACAACTTGTCTCGGCACTTGGAAGTCCCTTTAAGTTAATACTTTTAGTTAATAACTGCAAGTTACTATCTTAACTTAACTGGTTGTTTTGATT